CGTGTGAAAAGGAAGTGGAGAGTCCTGAAAGCACCCTTTGGAACAGGACCCTTTGTCCAGGGGTGGACACACACAAATCGCCGGCTTCGGCGCTTTTTCAAAGAACGGTGGCACAGACACGGTGCCGCTTGGCGGCGCGTGCGTGGAACGCCTGAATAGATACCTAAAAAGCCTTAGAAACAAAAGGAAAGAAACACAGAAAGAGCAGCGCTAAGAGGGCAAGAGAGAAAGATAGGCGTAGAAAAAATGAAAAATGAATACTTAGCCCTTGACTGGGGTAGGGAAACGAGCCTCAAGAACAACCTAAAAAGCCTGAGAGAAAGCCCAACAAACGACAAAAAACGCAAGAAGGAAAGCGGGGGGCAGGGAGGGGGTGTATGTCCATGTGTGTGTACGTGTGTGTGTTTGACTACCTAGCACTCTAGAATTACTGAATACTTAGACGAAGTGAATTAGGTGCACTAGTTAGGGAGCGGGACTTTTGTCTTAGACCGCCCGGGTAGGAAAGACTAGAACAGGAACAACACAGGGAAAGGCACCGACACACAAGTGTGTCGAGTACCATTTCCCTATGTTGCCCTAAATAGGTAGGGAGTAGAGGAGGGGGGGGGGGGGGTTTGGGGAACCTGCCTCATTGGGGGTAAGCACCGTTTTATAGCCCGGCGGCTGTCGAAGTGATGCCGTTTTTGGGCCCGGCGGCCAATGCATCAGTTTATTCTATGGGGGTGGCCGTGACTTCCGGTGAAGGTCCAGTGAAAAGTGGTACGTTGGGGTGGTTGAATTCCGATGCAAGAACGGCGCCCCTGTGACGGGGATCACACTCAGCACCCGAGTGGGACGGCTGAGCGAAACACACTCTGACATTGGTTTTCAGTGACTCTGTTACCACGTTGAGAAGGAAGGCGATAGAACGGCATGGTGAAAGGTCCAAAGACTTGAAGGTGTTTTAACATTGAAGTTTCTCATCTGCAGCGGTGCGACGACGACGCGCGCGGGCGGCGAGGGAAAGGGTTTAGGGGAAGTAGCCTGAACCACCATGGAAACAAACAAAGAAAGAGTGGAGTGACAGCTTGTACAACAGTTCGGCAGGTACGTTTGCAGCCCCCCCCAGTGGCCTCTTCGTTGGCCATCCGCCACTGGGGAGGGGGATGGCCCCCTGCCGAGGTTGGTTGAGAACCCTTTGTCCAGGGGTGGACACACACACACAGAGTTGGCGTAACACACACACGCCTGTGGTGGAAACACACCAGCGATCCTCGAGTCATCTGGGTTCCGCTTGGTCTCGCTGGGTTCTGCTTGGGTGCACATGGTCTGGTGCTGTGATTTCTGATGAAGCAGCATGTGCTTTCCTGTGGATCGTAACTGTTGTGTTTGGTGGGTTTGGTGCCAAGAAGGTGCGGGTGACGAGACTGACTTAATGTTCACCTTCATGGTAACTTGCATCTAGTAACGATGGCCTCCAACCTAGTGACAAGCGTCGATGTAGACCCTTTGAATGTATATGTGTGTTCCAGTAGGTGCACTGTTCCAGACTCCCGTCGGCAGAAACACCTGAACACCTACAAACCGACCCGGCGGGCCGGTTTTAAAACCCAAACAAGAAGAACACTCGAGGAACTTCAACAAACACGAGGGCTTTAGTGCTTCAAGTCCTCGCAGATGTTTCACGACAACCCATTGGAACCCTTTGACCGAGGTGCCACGCCGCCACATTGGCGCCGCCCAAAAGGGGAAACAGTGGTGTGGTTTTTCTTGCGATTTCACTGTCGGACCTGGGTTGTTATGGTGTTTGGTATCGCCCCAGACTTTGGGAATCTTTGGGATGCATTTACCCATGCTTACCCGGCTTACCCTATACATCCCTATACCTTCTTAACAATCTGATCGTGATCCATCAGCACGCGCAAGCTACAGTGCACTTGAAATGGACCGAAACATACCGAACAAATTCCCCTAATTACTGTAATTATATACAATTGAAAGGGATTTACTTTTCAAGCTATTCCGGATAACTGCAAAAGGATTTTGCTGCACAAAAGCCGCTGTACACTGGAGCTTTTTTTTGTCAATCAACCAGCCAGCGCCGTCCATCCGTCCATCCATGTATATATCAGTTCACGCCGTTGACCCCGTTCTGAGACCGCTTGTTCGCCCTTTGCCCTTGACCGTTGCGGCTCCAGCGCGGCCTCACGGACTCCAAACCAACTGCCCGCGCACCTGCCATGGGCTGTGGAGGGTCGACCGCCGCGAAGGACACGTCGGAGCACGTCGGACCGAGTCGACGTGTCGGACAACATCGCTACCAGAAGCATCTGATGTATTCTGATGTTGCGTTTGTTGTCTGAGAAACATCTCATCAGGTTGAGCAGTTGCAGTTTAGACGGAAGACCTGTCACATTGCCAGTCTTCCTCTTGCCAGCCCCAACAATGAAACCTCATGAAGCGCTGTTTGTGTATGACAAACAGCTCAAGGAGCGCTAGGGTGTTGTCCAAAGGATGCATTGGCACAAACCAAGGTGGCACAAGCGGGGTGCATACATGATCTTACATGTTCACTTCAATGTACATATCGACCTTGGATCTTGACGGTCAGGACAAAGACAACTACAGAGGTGAGCACAACCACAAGAAGCCCAGACGACAATGTACCTTGGTGGGAGGTGTTTGTCGAGAGGTTTGGAACATGTCACTCCGGCGTCTCCCTGGTCTCTGACAGAACATGTCACTGTCTTCTAGGAAGTTGGTGAATGGCTTCCTCTAAAAAAGGCCTCACATGTTTTCGTTTTAGCATGTTTTAGCAAGATGCAATTATAAAGCAAAGATTGGGACCAAGATGACCTTTGAGATCCTTTGAGATACCCAAACATTGATAAAATTTGCGTGTGGCATCTCAATTCAGCAGATCAGCAAGAGTTTGGGTTAGACCGGTTGCTCGTGGACTCAAGTGCTTCCCTGGTGGTTTGTATAGGTCGGATCAACGGCTTTGATAGATATGGAGTTTCTATGAGTTTCTTCTTTTTTGTGGACCATATCTTAAGCAATCCTTACAAGGAGCCAAGCAGCCCAGTATAATTGTGAGAGGTGATACTAGATTACTGGCAGGATCTTGCGGAATGTTTTGATGATGGTCCCTGCTGAAATAAATGGGTGTTCAGGGGTGCAAACCTGTGTTCACTGATGGAGGACCTAGGATTTCAGATTTTACATGTGCTCAAAAGCTCCCATGCTCAGTGGGAAGTGCCTTCGAGGTACCGTCGGCACTGAAGAGGGTTGGGTTCAAGCAAAGGCACGGCGCGTTTAGACGAATAATGGGACGTCCCATGGCCGAGAAGAAGGCCTCAGTTTCGGCTGCAGTTTCAGGGCGACAAGTGCTCCGTGCTCAGTTTGTCGGCTTTTGGTGAACTGAGTTGCATGCAGCTCTCCACATATTCAGACGTTTGAAATCAAAGAAGGCTTTGTCATACTAAGCTTGGTCATATTGTCCCCACTTCAGGACGCCCAGGTTCGAAACGTGCCCTTTTCGGGTGTTCGCCGGTCGTGGCGTGAAACAGCGCAGGTATAGACCACGCGGTCAACACCGGTGAAGGTCGACCACAAGAATATGTTAGCTTTACATTGGGCAATTGAGTGAGTTGTTTGTTTTTTGAAGGGGAAGGGGCAACTGGATTTTTCCAAAGAGCAACATGGTATGAGCGCTGAGGGGTGGGTTGTTTTGGAGCTCCAATATCCGTTGTGGTTTGATCCTCCCTTGAGAGCCTTGAGATGTTATTGAACGCATTGAATCTCTTACTGTACTTGGATCTGTGACCAACCACCGATTTGGTGACTTGCGGGCCACATTTGCACCCCGCCCAACACGGTGACAGCTGTGTCTCCGTTCCAGGCTGCAGCGCCTGGTGTAGATGATTGGGCCAAGAACCCTATCATCAAGCCACCCAGCTTCCTCAATTGGATCGTCGGAGATCCCACCGTGCCTGGGCGGCTTCCACACGACATAACAAGCTGAAGATCAAAGCACACGGCAGGTGGCATGAATGGCTGGGTTGAGGTGTTGTTGGCTCTCATGGTCTTTATTGTTCCATTTTTGGTCATTTCGCTATTATCCATGAGTCATGGATAGGGAGTCATGGATAGGGAGATCATGGGTTCGATCACTGATATGATTGTAAAGGTTTAACCAGTTTGAGGCCTTTTGGAGGATGTTTCAACCCCAATAGTTTCACTACTTGCCTGGACTTGGACAGCTTTTGACCGTAGAATTCCATGTGTTTGATGCTTCGCGGCAACAACTCACGGCCTCAAAAGCACGCAGTTGATCGAAGGAAACGCTTACCGGCTGTTTATCAAGAGCTTTTTTTTTCAGTGATTCCTTTAAGGGCCTCCGCGCTACGTATTTTAAAGGTCCAACAGTAGGTCCAACTCAGAAGCGCCCCGACCCCCCGACTAAGAAGGCGTCCGGGTTTGGAGCTTTTCTTGGGACCAAGGTGCAACAAATCGGTGACGAGATTCATATGTGGACCAATGGAGCGCTTGCAAACATTCAACACTACGTGGCGGATGCCAAAGATCCTACAAATTTCAAGCAGCTGGATGTGCCTGGGCGGTGGAGGGGTCGGTTACAGGTGTTTGAGTTGGAGTTTTCGGGGGCTTTTGCAGATCCTAAGCTGCGTGCTTCGTCAGTTGGACGTTCCCTTTCTTGTGCCTCTTGCTGTCAACTAGTAACTACTTGGCTCTTTCGAGATCCTCCTAGGCCAGATGCAGATCTTCATGTATATAATATATATATATATATATAGTAACAAGAAGCTACTAGTATCAAAGGGCATCGCTACTAGGAGAAAAGGACGCTACTAGGGGCTCCTGGCATCGCTACTAGTAACAAGAAGCTACTAGTATAGACCGATCTTCACATCCACAGGGCAGTTCCAGGCCAAGTCGCCAAGGATTCGATCAGCGGCTTTGGGACTGTACGACCCTATGCCTACCTCGATGAAGCCAAGCAGACTGTAACTTTGTGGCTTGGGCGGCCGTAGCGGTGAGCTGTGGGATTTGCGCGGGTGCAAAGGAGGGTGATATTTGTTATGACTTCTTGGGTGAGTTCTTATTTTTTTCCAATGGGCTAAAACCCAAAATCTTGGTTGCTCCAAGGAAGAAGGAACTGTTTGTTATAAAGCACGATAGATTCATATTATCAGTTTTGTTATATAATGATATGAAAGTTGTTTATGTCACATGACATGGAAGGATTAAAACATCTTAGTAAGAATGAGCTCACTTGGAAAGTTACCTTTTTCACCAGGAGCTCACATGGAATTCAAAAGAGGTGCTCGCCTTAGTTTGGGTATTATGGCAAGTATGGTATGTACCGATACAGGGAGGCTTAGTGTTGGCAACAAGAGCCAGATTCGAGCTGATCGATTGAGTTTAATCGATACTGGTAGCTGTCGATGGTTCCGCAAAAACATACCGCAGCGGGGTCGGGGTATCACGTTGCGTTCAATTTCCTAGACACTCCATGGGACTTGCATATTGACCGATCAGAGTTAGGATGCCCCTGGGTTAATGCAGGTATACAATGTAATATACACTTTAATACATATATATATATATGATATTTTACAGGTGTTGTTTTTCTTTTTTGTCAGGATTTATAAGGTATATATTTACTGGATACATAAATAAATGTATGTATAAAGTATACAATGGTATACATGTTCCAGTCCCATGGGCCAATGGATTGTGTTGGGTTTGAGCAGGGTGAAATACCGAAGGTCATCGAAGCCAGTAGTGACTGCGGATATGACTTTCTTTAATGGGCGTCTCCTCAGTGGTTCATGGAAGAAGATATTCTACCAGCTGGCTGCAAAAGGGAATCGTCCCAACGGGGTTCGGAACAGACGAGAAAGTATACGTGTACTTAACATACCAGAAACTATACTATGCTTTTGCCGGACATGGACATACATCCTGGAATCTTTATTGTTTGCAAGTGTCCAGAAGCTTTTCGTTTGCATTGAAAGATGTGGTTCAATCATGCTCAACATCGCCAGGTTTTACGAGAAGTACGAGTTCCCATATATTTTTGCGAGCAACTGAGCTTGAATTCAGCGTACATACTCTGCTGTTATAAGATCATTGTCCGCGTGTTTTTGTGTGACACACTATTTGTCGTGTGACAGTCTACTCTCAGCCCTGTGATTGAACTGGAAAGCAGCAGACACTACTCAGAGTGAGATATACACTATTCTAGTGGGAGACCTGGACCTACATACTCGTAAGCCGACATGTTTCATAGTTTCGTGCCCAACTGCCTGAGCACGTGTAAGTTGACATCTCCAAGTCATTGATCGAATGTCGGACAAACTGATAGCGTGTTCAGCCCATTGCGCCAGGCAAGATCATGTGTGCTGAAGCAGAGATCGGAAAGTGGGAGTTCAAGACGCTTTGTCGTCCTTCTTAGGACATATGTGAAGGTATTTCTTTCCCTAGTATTTACAGAGTCTCCAGAAGGCTGAGATGACTCATGATTCAAGAAGAGTTGGCAAGTGACATTTTCCGATAGTTCTCATATCCAAGGAATTACACCCCAATCCTGGAAGCTGAGCTTGAGTGGGAGAAGTATGGGCAAGCAAGAGTTGGCAATCCTTTCGTCTTCTACAACGCCGTGAAAGGACATGGACAGTGATCTCCAGTCTCTGGATCGATTTGCAAATAGAAATTCAGAGCTCGTGTTGTGGAGCTTGATGGAGCGGTTTTTTCTTCGCTTCAACGGAAGAAATGCTCGCAAACTCTCACATATACTCCACAGAAATCTTGGTTCAATTCCCAGTCAGACTCTTTTTGGGCAATCTGCAACATGTTCACCACCACGTGGATCGGTGCTTTTCATGAATCCGTGGTCTATGCTTTATCTGCCACACGCTCTCATTAGAGATGCACGATTGGCAGCTGCTCCAATTTGTCCAGTTTAGCTCTTCCATGTTCTGGTCCCTCCAGAATGTCAAACCACATGACCACAGACCTTGCAGACTGCCGAAGACTCTGTTCATGCAAAGCAGAGGAGAGTGAGCCCACTCATCAACATGCCCAAGCTCCTAGGTCCTAGACTCTTCTCAGCCCTCGCACCATGGACGCCTCTCCAGTCCCCACTGACGTCTAGTCATTGCTTTAACACTTCTTGGACTCTGCTAGAGACGCGGTGCAGCCGTTGTGCAGTGGAGGAGGTTTTGCCATGTTTTGTTAGGTGTTCAATCACTTGGCTTCTTAGCTAGACGCCGTAGACGCCGGATTCTGACGAGAGTCGGTCTTTGACCACATTGCATGCGCATATGCGAGAGGAAAGTACTGGCTCTACTACTCTGCAAGTGCCTCGGTGGCAAAGAGCCTTGAGTCAGCCCTGCTCGGATCTCTTGCTGAAGAGTTTCTGCCCATTCTTACCCCTCGACAAAAATGGTGACAACAAGGGGGAAACATCTTTCTATTGGGGGAACTCATTAAGCACATTGATAGGCACAGCTCCCTCGCCTCTTCAGATTCAGGGGGGTCACAGGCCATCCGAGCAACAGAAGCGGCAGTGTGAGGGAACCAGATTGAAGTGGTGACACGGATGTGCGAGCTGCATGACGGGGATATAACTTCACTCGGAGAATACCAGAGTCGTTTCTGTTGTGATTCAGTCTGATGCCACTCGCTCAATTCATTCACACATTTGCCAAGGGAGAGTGTTTGATGAAGTTCCAAGAGTTTGCAAGCCAAACATGAAGCAGCACCTATGAACAAGTAGCTACTAGGAGCAAAGGGCATCGCTACTAGGAGCCAGGACGCTACTAGGGGCTCCTGGCCTTACTACTACTAACAAGAAGCACCTATGAAGACCTCTTTTCCATGTTGTAGCCGCAGCCCACCGATGAGACTTTCAAGTGCATTCGCACTTTCTCCCTTGACGACGTTCACGGGGAAGTATCATATCAACCCAGATACAATCTATAGTATACAATCGATAGTATACAATATATAGTATACCTCATGTATTTCCAGAGAGCTTTCAGGTGAGATCCACCTGGAGGACGCCAATGTGGACGAACCTTTAAATCTGGGCCTTGCAGAGTCGGACAACCTCACCGGCCCCTACAAGCGCCTCGTGACGGAGCCGCTGGTCATCCCCAACGAGTTCCCAGGAGACGCCGCAAACAGGTGGATGAGGGCCCTGGTTTTGCTGTCCTGGTGATGTTTTTGCTTGTAGCTTTATTGTTCCTAGTGAGTAATAAGAACAGGAGCCCCGTTCGTAGCGTCCGATCGCTCCTATGGTGTTTGCTTATGGGTGTTTTTTTGTTCTGGTGAAAAGTATATTTGTTGTTTTTGTTTTTCCAAGTTCCTTCAGCAAATCCAAGGGGTGGATGGGAGAGTTGAGGATAGATGATCACCATCTCCCGGTTGGTGGTGGTGGTGAAGAGTGGTGTGCACATGTGTGCACGTGTGCGAATGGTATCATGTTTCACGTACGGATTTTGGTGTCAATCCTTTTCCAGCGGCGGAGCCCTCATGAAGGCCTTGAAGCTTGAACTTTGACAGTCCAGCACTATTGGCAACTGCTCAAGTGTTGGCTGATTCGGCTCGCTTACTAGTAGAAATGCCCTTCCTTGCTAGTAGCGATGCACCTAAGAGTCCTAGTGCTTGCACCAGGACTCTTCATCAAGGGTCATGGATCTTTGCGGCTCGGCACCCGTGACCAGCGGTCGCCGTGACAGGGCCAGGGGCGCGAAGCTGGCGCCTGGCGCGCTTTTTTTTTTTTTCCGTGTCTAGACGCGATGTCCGAAGTCTCTGAAAGGGGAGCACGATCGGATCAGGTCTCTTGTAGTGGTTTGCAATAAGTTATTGCCGCAGCCTGAATAGCTTGGGGAGTTGGAATTCAGACATGTCTTTTTGCCCTATTTCTTATTTGTTTTAAATGTTGTTTGATTTGTTGATTGATCGATCTTGAACAAAAGCTCCACCGATGGAACTCTGACCTGAAAACCTTGTTCAAAATCCCTTATTAAGCCTCATCTCCAGACAATGTTTCAAGGGAGTAGTACACAAGCTCAGGGAAATTGAATCAATATATAATAGCAACTGTTTAGGGGGTGGGATTAATGTGCCAACTTGGAGCCAGACGAAAAATATCTAAGCTTACTTTTCTATTGTTCTGCTTTTGCTGCTGCTGCTGCTGCTCCTACTCCTACTCCTACTCCTACTCCTACTCCTACTTCTACTTCTACTTCTACTACTACTACTGCTACTACTCCTCCTGCTGCTGCTGCTGCTGCTCGCAAATCGTTTTGGTGGGGTTGCCTCAATTCAGTCTGCCTCGATCGTTTGCTAGGGGGAGGTTTCCAAGTCAAGATTGGACATTGCATGTCTTCACCTGTAAACGTTGCTGTTGCTTCTGTCGTCCCTTTGTTGATCAGCGCTCAGGAAGATGGTCAAGGTGCCCAGTGCAGACATCGACCAACATGGTGTAGGTGTTGCCGTTTGCAACAGGCGCCCCTTCCGAATCTGTGTGTGTGATTCGCGCGCCCGTTAGACGGCGTGTCGGGGAGGTGTTCCAGACCTGTGTTAAGGCTTTGTCCACTGAATTTCCTGGTGTGGTTTCTGTCTTGGAGAGGTGGACACAATGTGAAACACAGTGAAATACATGTTTTAAAGACATCGGATTCATATGGGATTCATGGTTTGATTTGTCCCATTTCCCGGAAGACAACGTCTGAACATTGGAAGGTCGTGTGTTTGATCGTGTTTGGATGATGTGATACTTGAAATTTGCAAGTGCGCTTCTGTGGCAGGCTTACATACAATCCAGCGACCAATCAGACTGGCAGCACTTTGTCTTTGTTGCGCACCACGGATTCTTTGCTGCAAATGAGAGCCAGGTCAGTCTTTGGAAAGCGACTCTTCAGATGGTGGTGACGCGTGATTTTTTTTGCCAGACGTGCACAAGATTGTTGGATGTGGTTGTTTTTCCTAAGTCCTCCCACTCTCCAATGTACTGATCAGCTTCGAGACAAGAGCACATTGTGAGAGCATGTGCCATTCAGTGCTTTTGAATGCTTTTGAAAAGAACACGTCGAAAGCCATCGGTTCACCACGCGGTTCATGTGACCAAGTTGACCTGTTCAGTCAGTGTGTCACGTCTCCGCGGAGACGTGGGTGCTGACGGGGATCGGACGTTGGAGAAGGAATTTGGAAAACAATGGCATTTCTCGACCACCCTCCGGTCTCGATGAAACAGACGAAACGGATTTTTCATGATTATCATGATTTTTCCTGTCATTTTCTGTCACTATGTATTGTGATACATAGTGCCACTCCGTGTACTTATATGTTTGAAGAAACCAATGCTGAAGAAGACATGCATCAGCCAGCTCAGATATGGAAACACTGGAAACACCCAAGGACTATCAACCTAATCAAAACTCTATTGACACGTGTTGACGCCTTGGTCATTTTGCCTTCCATCTGGACACATCCTCCCAGTGTCAGGACGGTGGCTTCTCGTGGAAGCCGGTGATCTCCAAGTTCATTTGACCCCCGGTCGCATTTTTGTAAGGCATCCAACGATGGGGATCGCCAGTTTTTGAATTTGAAACGCATCAATTCCTGGTCCAAGAAAGTCCTCTCCGCCAGTTGGAGACGATGCGTTTGTTGGTTCTCCTTCCCACTCCAGTGTAGAAGCTTTAATGGAAGTCGGAAGCAGCCAGTATCCACTTAAGATGACAGGTCAATCAAGATTCCAATTAATCGAGGGTTCCTTGAACCGCTTCATTCAATCGGAAGAAGTGGGTTCTTTAAGCGTGTCAAATAGGAACATGTTCCGGGTGTTTGGGTTTGCTTCTTCAGTTTGCTTCTTCAGGTTTGGCCATAGGGCTCGCACACACACACACACCCAAGCTGAGCCGAGCGATAGCGATCGTGAGTGGTCTGTGTAGTACGTGGTGCAATCTGAGGTCCTACCTTGGAAGAGAACAGTTGGAAAGAGGCCTTCTGCTATGGCTTTGATACGTCCGGTGCCCAAGATCCTACCGAGTGAGTGAGCGTTTTCTTTTTCTTTCGGCGACGGGCACCGGGGCTTCTTCCGTGGGATGCAAGACCTGAGAGCGGCCAGGAGCGGAGAGCAGCATGTTTCTTTTGGGTCAGTTTCGGGGTGCAGTGTGTCGTGCATGAAATTTTCCTTGCCTGGAGGACCTCCAAGGACACCTACACTTTTCTATCTAAGAGACAATCATAATGAACGGGCACATTGAAGAAAGTATGGTGTGACCCTGTATAGTAGTTTGTATCATTGTTTACAACAGTTTGCAACGGTTGTGAGGGGGTTCCATGCTTGTTGAATCACCCAAGCCCATAGTTGAGCATTGAGCAGGATTCAACTAACCAGCAGATGCTATAGCCCTTGCCACCAAGCCATTCTGACGATGCACTTGGTGCCACCCCCTATCACCCAGTCGGTGATCACGAACAAATCTCCTCTCGCCACGATTTCGCCGAGGATCCAAAATCCAAATGATCCCGAGTCGATCTTGATCTACTACAACGCACGCAATGGTTGGAAGGTGCACAGTGCACAGTTCAGTGGTGTTTCTTTGAGTTCGGACTTTCTATCCCCAAGGATTTGCAGGTCCAACTGGCGACATTGGTGACCTTCAGACTGTGGGTGCGAAATTCTCAAACAGGATCAAACTATTACGAGTAGATTGATAAATTTGATAGTAGTATAAATCATGATAACAGGATCAACTACGACTATACCAGGATTAAACGTTATTATAAATTTAGTATAAATTTGATAAATTTGCATGTCGTTGTTTCTACGGTTTCGGCTGGACCCTCAAATTACGGATCATCGGGTTGCTCTTGACTGACTGCGGGGTGCCATTCGCCTCTGTTCCACGCTCTGTGATGCTCGGTTCGCGGCTCCGGGCCTGAGTTCCAGCCTTCGGGTTCCAGGAAATCATTAAAAAAAACACAGTTATATGTTTTCCTCTTCGGGGGGTAGCTACTAGCGATGGCCTCCAACCTTCGCGTTCCAGGATGCGATGGAGCAAGTGGGTGTCTCTCGGTTTCCCTTGGAGATGGTGGTCGATGCGAGGAAGGGCAACTCCTGCTGAGTGCGGCGAAACGGCCGGAACTCACCAGCTCTGTAAAGAGAGGATCGGAAGTGCCCTGAAGTTCCATTCTGAAGCGTTGGCGAGCAGCACCATGTTTGACGAAGCTTTAGAGAGTGACAACTCAATCCATGATCCGACGATGCCTTCCGGTGTTCACGGCTTGAGAACGTGCGTATAGGAGGGTCGTTGGCGTTCGAAACAAACACGCCAAGTGGCCGGTGTTCTGCCGCTGGGATTTCACGGCGCTGACATCGATGGTGACTCTTGCAGGAGGTTCCCATCCATTCCAGTGACTGACTTCTCTAAGGATTTTGTGCTTGATCCAGACTGGGAACAGAGGAGCCTCCTTGGCCATTGGAGTCGAGGCGAAAGCTCTGGCCGATCTAGGAAATTCATCGTGCATCGGTTTGCAAGAATGGCTTGCCTCAAGTGACCCCAAACCCTAGATGGTCACACTCCTTGCATTGAGGAATCCCAGTGAGCATTCAAAAAGTCATTTAAGTCTTGAGCCATTTTTGCGATGTTCAGACATCAGGCTATGACTTGATTGGCAAAGCCAATCTTCTGCCCAAACACGGCAACACGACAGCGTAACCCCTCCTGGCTGAATCCCGGTGTTGAAGCACAACTTACATAATATTAGTTGTCAAGACGGTTCATGCCGGGCCCGGGGTGCGTGACTCTACGGTCCACCAACGATTTTCAAAAGAAGCGGCGTCCTGGCAGACTGAGATGTTTCAGGATTTTGGATGTGTGTCGGAGTGTGTGTCGGTGGACTTCGGTGCGATATGTCCAAAAGCAATACAGTACGTAATCCCTTTTAAACGGCCTCCCGCCCATTAAACAACATATAATATGCAGACTGTTTTCAACAACATATATAATACGGGTCTTTTATTGTTGAAAGGAATGGTTCCGATCAACATCATGTTTGTCTCCATCCCCTTACAAACACATGTGGCTTGGAGGAGGCCGTTGTTTATAGTAGGGGTACAGTACCTGGCTCGCTAGTTGAGAGGGTTCATAGGAAGCAGTCCAGACAGGGTCGGAAAAGATGAAAGGCAAAGGTTGAGCCCCTGCTAAACGAAGACGGCAAGGGGAACATTTAGCCGTCATAATAAACGATTGCGGCATTATTTTAGTGTTTCTTGCAGGCACCCTAATACGCACAAAATCTATGGGAATCTATGTAACCTGACAGGTACCTGACAGGTACCTGACTGTTGAAAGCCACGAGTAGCAAATTTTAAACGGCGTACGTTCAAAACTCAACTAGTATTTTTGACGTGCCAGACTCAACTATTATTTTTGTATATTAAGTAAAGGGAATGAGAACTACTCATGACAGATACAATATAGTCAATACCTCACAAATGCATGCAACAGGTAAACATATATAAATTGTATATTTTGGTATTTCTATCCGTATGTTCACTGTCAATCATCGTTTACCAACATAGACCTTAAATTTCATATCTTAACCCCATCATTGTTAATATGAACATATAGCAAAGAAGATGAGGATGAAGTACAACAACTATTATGTATTTTATATATGGTATATGTTATAATTGAGTAAGGGGATTGAGAATCACTCATGACCTAGTGGTTTATACCTCACACATGCATGCAACATGTCAGGGGGTGCATCTCACACCGGCCGGGATGCAATAGCTTTGAAGATGCTGTGGCAGCATATTTCGTCGACTCAACATTTCCTTGCACCTGTGTACATAGGGAACATTTCCTTGCCAGACTGGACGTATTTACATAGGGAAGGGGGACCAGCCCCAAGGTGCAGGTCATGTCTTGCAAAAGACCACCCCATGGCGTTTTCCAACGACCACCAAGGTGGTGGGCTGAAAGGACACATGGGTACTACCTGTGGGCTTTGTTGGCTCTAGAGGGTTGAAGGCAGAAATGGTGAGCGAATATGAGCCGTATTGGCCGGCCCCAAAAGCCGAGCACGAACTTTGCAGCTAATTGCTGCAGAGCAAAAGGACATGCTGTATACTTCACACACACACGCCTTTCGTACACGAGCAAGAGCGCTGAGGTGTGCCATGCCCTTTGCTCCTAGTAGCGAACATTGTTCCTAGTAGAAAGGCCAGGAGCCCCTAGTAGCGTCCGATCGTCCGATCGCTCCTAGTAGCGATGCCAGGAGCCCCTATCAGCTTCTTGCTCCTAGTAGTACGGCCAGGAGCCCCTAGTAGCGATGCCCGAAATGCTCCGTTCGTAGGAAGGGATCCGGCTCGGGACATCCATCGCGTCCGATCTGCCCATGGATCGGCGCCGGCAGCCTCGCAGAGCCTCTGCGCAAGTGCATGAGGCAGACTCACCGGGGCGGACTCACCGGTGTAGACACCATCCATCACCCATGAGTCGGTGCGTCTTCTCGGCTATGAGTTGTTACACAGTGGTTGGACTCTCTTGGACTACGAGTAAAGGAGAAAGCATTGGGGCAGTTGGTGAAACTGTGAAGACCTTGAAATGAGGGTTTGATTGGTTCGTTAAACAAAGCATAACAAAGCAAGATGCTGCAAGAGGCACTGATTCTGCTCTCATATAGTTACAGTTTGTCTACAGGTCTGGATGCGCGCAGGGTATCAAGATGTATCATGTTGATTGATTTTGTATCATGTCAAGTGAGAATCAGACAAATGCTTCCAATCGAATCAGAGTGAATGTATGTGAACGTAGAACGGTTCCGGAGCAAATCTGAGCAAATCATTGAATTCAGTGTATTTTGTGCCGTCATATGCCATCTATGATATATATACATTTTACTTAGAGTTTGTCCCAGTGAAGCAGAGAGCCCAAATTGTGTCTCTTGTATCCAGAAATGCTCAACATGAATGTACCGAGAGATCCCCAAACCACCACGTCTCCCCAAGCCCCGGGGCTCGGGAGAACGACGCAGGAGCTGAACGACACCGTGCAGCGCTTCATCACTCGTGACCGCTCCTTGAACGATGTCACGCGGGAGCTGCACCGTGGCAAGGCCCGGACCAGAGCCGTACATGTGAGAGGACTGCAAATTAGTTAGATGAAGTGTTAGAAAAGTAAAGATTGTGGATGAGAATGATGAAGTTACTTATTACTAATTGGTAACGTATAGACGAAATGATATATTATCGTATTATTGTATATACAGAAATATATAGAACTGGTTCTTGTAGGTGTAGAGAAACTGCCGTTCAGAACACTGAAAGCATGTGTTTGCCGCTGGCAAACGCTGCGTTCACCTTCGAGACGTTCAAGACCTGAGGCCTTCAGAAGTGTCGGCAGCGGCTTTTCGAGCCATCTTATATAGCGCTTGCAGGGAATGTAGCTAAGGCAGGTCATTCCTATTCATTCCAGCCTGCCTGGCAGGTCATTTTCTACCTGGAGCGGTGATGACATTATCAAACCCAATGAACTTAGACTCCAAAGATCACAGGTTCGACGATGCATTGCCCGAGCACACAGCAGACGTTCTATCCTTTTTCCACCCAAGTGGACCCAAGCTAGGCGGTTGAGCTGGAAGCGGAGGTGATGTTGCTGCCGCTGCTGTTGGTGGAAACGCTGGTAGTGGAAGTGCTGCACCTGCCAGGAAATCTGCACTTCGATGTCCACCAAATGCTGCGCAGCTGCCACAAAATCTACTGCAGTGGGACATCTACAAAAATGCTGTGCTTGCTCTGCACTTCGACCTCGTCAAAGTGTCACGCTTGCAACGAACTTTGACATGTCTAAAAATGCCTCTTGTGCAAGACTTTTTCAGAACTTCAAGATTGACGGCTCTTGTGTTTCCCTACGGCTCTTGTGGTGGGGTTTTTACTTTTGCTGTGCACCACCCCCATTTCGCCTCCCGCCTCCTGTCTCCTTCCAACTCACACAAAACACATCGCACACTCACCAACTCGACTCACTTAACTCTCGCGTACACTTTCACTTACACTCAATTTCTTACACTCCCTGGCCCCTCAACTCACACCAACTCATACCTCACTTACACTTACTGGAGGTTCTGATGCGCCGTTGTCTTGGTCCTCCACGGCTCCTCCCCTTGCGATTCCACGCGCTAAGAGCTCACTCTTAAGAGGGCCGCCCCACCCCCCTTCTTGTATTATTAAGTTTAAATGTTTCTAACATCACACTGTGCAATTCTGCCTTCACAGAGGCTTGAGTTCACTTCCAGGTGTAAACAAGCATTGTCTTTGCTAGGACTGGCTTCTCATGCATCATGATGGACTCGTGGACAGCTGATTGCCAATTCCAATGTTGACAGCCTTGATTAAAAGAGTATAAACACGTCAAAGTGAGTTTTCTCACGAAGGAGAGGGTCCAAATCGAAACACACTTTCATCAACCACACTGGGAGAGAATCGTCGAGACACGATGAGACAATTTTATTTTGCAGTTTCAACATGATCCGACTAGTGGTCTTTGCTCGGCTTGTGCAGCGCCCGAACCCGCTGGGGCTCAAGAGAATTCTCTTTTTTGCATGCGGGGGTCCGCCAACATGGCCACAGGCAGGGCGGAAAAGAGAACTGGAAAAACACGCGAACTCCAATGAACGCATCACATGGAGGGTGGGTAGCACAGTCCAAAATGGACGAGTTTCCACTTCCATGATGGCAAGTCGGAGGGTAGTGAGGCGTACTGGTAGTTTAGAGTATGTTTAACAAAGTCTTTGAAGAACAAGTGGGAGTTGAGTCCTTCAGGCGAGCCAATTAACAACACGCGGTAGTTAAAACATACCAAAACAAACATGTATATGTTTTTTTCTGACCTCAGCTGACACCCAGTTTCAGACAGCTGCAGAATTTGAACAAATTGCATGTCAGATGCATGACTTCGCTGAGTCTTTGTTCAGCTCCAAAATCTGGACGCTCGCTGGACTCCGTCGACCGGTTCCGTTGGCCAACGACTCCGACGTTTGTTTCATCTCATATGTTCCTCACGGGACGTTAGAAGGTCGATCAAGAGGCCTATTCCGAATGTGACCAGAAGAGTTCTTCCAACAAGGACGCTCCTAGGGGGCTCCTGGCATCGCTACTAGGAACAAGGACGCTACGAACGGGGCTCCTTCGATTCGCTCATGTGTCGCCGGTCGTTGCCCACGACCGCTCATAGGCGAGCCACAGCCGCCCCGGTTTGCTGCAGAAGTACATAAGGGTGACATACCGAAGGAGCTTTGGCAGTTGGGATCGGAAGACCTGGGCAAGTATGTGGTTCGGTCGGTGCCTCCACTGGGCACCCTCGAACGGCAACCTGCACTCAAGGGAACACGCATGCTTTAATATGCTTTAGCCATTCCAAGCGTGAAACGGGGACGAAACCAAGCTTTCTGCCCCAGAAAGACAGTGTAAATGCGACCATCCGCTGCCGCTGTAGTTCAATTTGCGCACAGTGATTTGCTGCTATGGGTGATTTGGAAGAGTGTCAAGATGGATGTTACTGCAAATGGTTTTTAAGCCTGCAATGTGATTAGGAAAAGCGCAAAGGCCATAAAGCGTGTATAGTAGAGGTTGGGTCTGTCCGATTACCTGTAACAGTCAGTCGACAATTAATTATCACTATGTGTTCATCATCCACTCTTACTGGAAATGGGATAGACCCAAAGTAGAGGGTTCCAGCCTTGCAGAGAGGGTTGATACAGAGTGAAGGACTGACCTGTTCTCCGCCTCCACAGTCGGCTCTTCGGTCCTTGTGGTCACCCACTTGAATGCACTCATGGGCGTTCGAACAAAACACCTTCAGCATTTGACTATATATATATATACATATTATATTGTATAACTATATAAATCTATATTACAATTATGTAGATACTATATATATATATTAATTATACATATACTACGATATAGATATATAGTATAATATCTATGTGACATTAGTCCAAGATGCCCATTCCGTGGCGGGGACCGCTTGCTTTGGGTTTGTTGTTCATTGATTGGAGTTTATTCTGTCCATAGCTTACCCTTGCCCTGTGGCTTACTGGTATGCGGAAAAAACTTGTTTTGCTGAAAGACACTGTATTGCCTTGTCCGGTGCAATTGTCGCTTGTCACTGAGCTTGATGAGGATGAGTGTCTTTGCATGGTGGAACATGGACATTCATTAAGGGACCTGAAACGGTTCCTTGTCAATCAGGTTCAAATTTCAAGGTATTGGCAACGGCTCTTCAGCGAAGGGATCGGATGACATGTGTCCACGGCGAAGTTTGCATTTGGTCATCCTGGACTTTTGTGCTCTTCGTGACAAAAAAGGACATGCAGAGCTGCTTCAAATATATGAAGAGAATTGTGTGGGCAAAATAGACCCTAGTACTAGTGCGTCAAAACCCACAAGGTCCGAATTGGAGAGAGGTATAGCCATTTGGGAGTGGTGCAAGCCGGCAGTAAGCATGTATAGGATAGCCAGCAGCAATTTTTCCTACATCTCAGAACGGCCACTTGGAAGTCGTGCAGTTGTTGCTTGATGTTGCAGCTGATGACAGATGCAGCAAACCAAGACGGGGACACTGCAATTCTTGTTTTCCAATGTCTTCCATCCAGAGTGGCCGTGAGGAAAGCGTGCGATGGTTGCTAGAATCTGTTAAAAGCTAAAGCTGCTGACTCAAAATGTTGCAAATCGATTTGCCGATATGCATCGTTTTTTTTTTTAATTCTCCATGTTTTCTCCGATACATTCCTCAGCTTTGTAATTTGAGCATTGAGGAATTCCAACTCTTGTGCCTGATGTTAATTCCTTGCCACAACAAGTTGCCTTGGTCCTTTTTGTGACCAAACTGCGATGATCTTGCGATCGACAGCTCTCTCCCAGGAATATCAACTACAGCGCTACTACACAGCAGCAGACATCGTTGGGGAGCCAAGGGGGGGGGCCAACATGGGGGCAGGCATCTAAACTTGTGTTGTTTTCTTATTTTTCTCCAACGTTTTGTCTGGCCTTGCACTGGTCAGAAGCTTACTTTCGGTTCTGTTGCTTCGTTGCTTCGTTCCGGCCTGCGAAGCCAGCTGGACTTGGAAAACCAGTTTCCCAGGCAGTTTCTTTTTTTTTGAAAAGAGATTAGCACGCCAGAAATGCACAGGACTCGTGTCCCAAGCCAGTTCCAAGAATCCAAGTCTCAGAATTGGCAGTCAGTTCAATTTGTCGACCACGATTGTAGAATGTCGCAGGATCACCAACTTCCACGAGTTTCCATGAAGTAATCAAGTTTTGGAGCAAGATGGTAACGTATGGCAACACTTAATCTTAATCGAAGCAAAACATATATATATATATGATTGGTCAAGGCTGAAGTCAATAACATCACAGATAGACAGTTGAACCCTCCAAATCATTTGCCGGTTATGCATTTTGGACCGTCGCACAGCCCATTCTCAGGTCCAGCACAACTCGCCGCACGACTGCTGGGTCTCCTTCTTCGGAAAAGTTTACGTGCCTCGGCCCACACCGGCGCAACTTGGAGTTCTGGATGAGGCCCTGCACTCAGCACTTGAAAGATTTGAACGTGAAGATTCGATATGATTCGATTTTTTTGGTTGCATGTTTAACGACGGTCGCGTTCGAGGATGCGTTCTCTCGACCCCTGCCCACAACACCGCCGTCTGGCGTAACTGACGTGGCCCAGCTCCGACGGTTCCAGATGTGACCCATCCACGAAAGAACACACGCAGCAAAAAAGGGTGGAACTTGGCCGGGGCACATATTGGCAACTCGAGATACTTAAGTTGAACACGTTCTAGGTGTTTCTAGGGACAAACGAAAGATGGAACCCCACCTGGGGAAGAAAAGGGGACTTACCATAGGATAAGTCATAGGATACAAATTACGGGATTGTACCTGTACAATCCTGTACGCGTGAGATAGAAACCACTTTGGATGATTTCGGGCCAACTCTGTCACCAATCTTGGTCTCTTCTTCGCACACCGAGGACTTGACTCCACTGCTGGCGGAGTATGAAGGGCCCTTGGCGCAGCCCATCATCGCCGCTGCGGGCACCGACAT